CGCAGCAATTGCACTACTAGATATTTATCCAAAAGATAAAAAAGACTGATTTGAAGGGGCACATGCACCCCGATGTTTATAGCTGCATTATCAGCAATAGCCAAATTATAGAAATAGCCCAAGTGGCCATCAGCAGATGAATGGATAAAGAAGAGGTAGTATATATACACAGTGGATATTACTCAGCCATAAAAAAGAAGAAAATCTTGCCATTTGTAACAACATGGATGATCTAGGAGGTATAATGCTAATGAAATAAGTCAGTCAGAGAAAGATAAATATCACATGATTTCACTCATATGGGCAATTTAAGAAACAAAACAAACAAACCAAGAAAAAAAGAGACAAATAAAAAAACCAGACTCTTAAATATGACTCTTAACTAGAGAATAAGCTGATGGTTACCAGACGGGGAGGTGGGGGAGGGGTGGTGGGTGAAATAGGATGGGGATTAAAGAGTACACTCATCATGGTGAGTGCTGAGTAATATACGGAATTGTTATATCTCTGTATTGTACACTTGAAACTAATATAACACTGTATATCAATTATACTGGAATTAAAAATTTTTAAAAAGAAATGTAGCTTTAAAACACGTGAATGCAAATTTCTGGATACCATTTATATTACTTATTATTTTAATTTCCTTTAAAAATTCACAATATAAAAAGTAAATTCAAAGTTCATTTGCTTTCCAATATGTGTTTTTATAAGCACATTTGGTATATATGTATGTGTGTGTGTCTGTGCATGCATGTATATATATGAAATAAAATTTTATTTTCCACCGAATAAGGGCAGTTTCAGCTTCTGGCATACTCCAAGTCATTCTGTTTTCTGAAGTAGTGAATCCTACTATTAAGGTCTAAAACCTCGTTGCTCTAATTAAATGATAAACATCTCTGTATTTGTCCACTAATTTAAGACCAGCTCTAAGTAGAGCAATTGTAAAGATGGTGACAAATAGATCTCAACCTGGTATCAATAGACCAAACCATTAGTAGCAGGAAAGTGACTGCTAAAACACAATAAGATTTCTCAGTTAATCTTTTTTTTTAATTTATTTTTATTTATTTATTTGAGAGAGAGAATGAGAGACAGAGAGCACGAGAGGGAAGAGGGTCAGAGGGAGAAGCAGACCCCCCGCTGAGCAGGGAGCCCGATGCGGGACTCGATCCCGGGACTCCAGGATCATGACCTGAGCCAAAGGCAGTCGCTTAACCAACTGAGCTACCCAGGTGCCCCAGATTTCTCAGTTAATCTTAACCAACGGGGTAACTACTTTTAGCTACCTTTGTCACATCAGATATTGACAAATATGTAGTTTTTTTAAATGACATTTCAAGATGAATTTGGTTGAATAATATATATTTGGCCATATTTTTCTCCCTGGCTCACATTAGGCTCACAACATCACAGTGACTACAAAGTGTTTGGAACAAATGAGGTGCAGTATATAGCTTTTGTTTCTCTAAGAAGGCTGAGTTATAGGAACTTTACATATCTGGGGGGAGGGCTTTTGATATAGATCCAACTGGGAAAAAAAAAAAACAAACAAACTTCCAACAAACCCTAGAGAAGGTTCCTTTGAGCATGGTGAGCTAACCTAGGATAAACTCCCTTCTGGCCAATAACTCTGCTTAGGTCACAGCTGTCGATTTGGTAAGCAGGTTGGCTTGTTGGTTGGAAAAATGCTGTGAGCGCAGATGTGAAACCTCAGTACACACACACACACACACACACACACGTGCTATGCACACATACAAGGTTACAATCACTGAGCCTAGAAGGAGAGACACAGATTTTCTCACCAATTGAAAATGAATAAAGCTACATGCCTCGGAATCCATTACTGTCATCCAGTTGGTATTCAGGCATCAACTGGGGGCATTTGTTAGCTACGTAGCTTTCAAGGTTAATTCAACATTAACAACGAGGAGTAGAAATGTGAGTAAATGCCAGAGTACCCCAAAGGAAAATGCATCCTCAAGGTCTGGGTCCCGTCGAGAACTTCCATCTTCCAGCACCCTTCCCTGACATGTAGTTTTAAAGACATTGTGTGGCCCTGGGCTGTCTCTGCAACTATAATCAGTGGGCAAGCACAATTCCTTTGATAGACAATGCTCCAGCAATTTCTAGCGGCCATTCTAACTGAACAGGATCATTGCCAATAAGGCAACGAAATACATATGCTCAACCCCACAGGTCTTGTTTCTCTGTGTGGATAGATGTATGTTTGGGTGCCTTGTCCAGGTGGGTGTATAAGATCAATCCTGATTCGTTCTCTTTTCTCTTCTCTTTGAAATATAAGTTTTAATATCTTAGTAAGAAAGCTTTTCTCGGAAATAGATTTAGAACACATGGAGCGGAGTCTGCACAAGGGAAAGGGACATTGATGGGAATTCAGTAATGTGGGAGATACCCTTGCAATAGCTCTCCCCAAGAAGCCCCTTGTATCTATTCCACAACAGTAGGAAGGCATTGCTGTAAGTCAGGGATATTACTGCTGAGTTTTTCAGTTAGCAGTAGATGCTTCAGCTCTGGTTGCCCTGACTTCAAGACATAAGTGACTTTAGGGCCTTGGAAATCGATTATTGGGCCTATTGAGCCCACGCATGGCAATGTTTTTGGGTCACAACCCTTTCATCTATAAAATCACTGCCCCCTTAGTCCATCTCTAAGTCTCATTATTCTAGTTTCTTCTACACACTATGGCCAGATTGGTTTTCCTAATGATAGCTCTGTTCTTGGCCTTGCCCTGTTCACAGGCAGCTCTTCACCCTTAGACTGATGTAGAAATTTTCATCTGCAATCGAGACCTGCTGCTATTAAATTCCAGCCAATAGTTTAGTCATTTTTCCCTCTCTGACTCTCTGACCTCCCCCCTACTTCTCCTCTGCACTTGAGCCAACGTGGACTGCTTTCTGTTCTCTATCTTCATTGTTCTGTCTGCATTGTTCTCTCCCCAGTCTCAATCTTTTAATATTGTTTTTGTCCCCTAAAACCATTCCAATTCCCATCTCTTTAAAGAAAATTTTTCCTGGGTCCCCCGACCATGTATGGTATTCCCTTATGGTAGTACCTGCTGAGCTTTGTATTTCTCCTTGAAATGTGTGTATTGCCTTCCACCTGCATTCTTCAGCTAGACTGTGAGCTCCTCCAGGGGAGGCCACATGTCATAATCTCATCTTTGTGTCACAGCCCAACCCCTACCACACAGTATCCTGCTCAAAATGGGTACTAAAGGGAAGGACCTGAATCAACATAATTTCGATTTATTTATAAATAAGCAAAGGCATATCAGATGCTAAATGGGATTATGGAAGGAAACTATTAGATGAGAAATGTCCATGGAAGACTTGTTGCATTTCTTCCCTTTGGAAAAGAAAGGACATCTTTTCACCCAGTCCTCATACTGGAGTGAAGTCCTCATTCCTGGAGCTGAAGGACCTTCCCTTGCCCCCAGCACCATGTTAGGAAACCTGAATGGTGGGGGGATGGCAGAGCAAAAGAGAGGGATTTGGGAGGCTCCTTACCAGGAAGAAAAAGCAGGGGTGGGGTGGTGAGTGTGGGGTGGGATGATAGAAAGAAAAATGAGTCACTCAACTGGAGATAAAAGGCCATCCGAGGGGTTGAGAGCAGGGCTGCTGAGGTCCCGCCACACAGCTCTGCTCTTCTTATAACTTCATCTCTGCCCTTGCCTCCTCGTCTATGGAATTCCACAGAGGTGATGAGCGCCCAGAGCCCTGCAAGATTCTTGAATTAAAAGGCACTAGGTAAAGACAAAACATTAGCATTGTTACAAGGAACCTGTCATAGACAGAAACAGACACCACAATGCATAATTTTTTAAAAATAAATACCATGCTGTCAAATGGGAGAGTGGCTGTTAGATAATTTGGCACCCACAGTGGAGCAAATGTTCAGGAGAGGTGAGTATTTTTCCACTATTCCAGAAGGCTGAGAGCATAAACAGCAACAATTTCTGCATCAATCTTTCAGCCGCGTCCATCAAATTAGGCTTTCAAATTTAATGCTGAATAAAATCCCCTAAAAACAGCGGAGAGCAAGCCCAGACGGAACATCTTGAAAGTGGTAAGCCGGGAGGGAGTGTGTGCACATGCCACGTGAGTGTTTGGCAGAGCCAGAAAACGCAGCACGGTACAAAAATCATCAGTCTGTGGTTTTCTTCCGGGCGGTCCCTTTGACCGGTCCCCAGGGAACTCGCGGGGCAACTGCGCGGTCCAACTGCCGCAGAAGCTTAGGCAGCGTGGATGGGATCAGAATGGGGGCGCCGTTGGCGGGACTCTGTCCGCTCCGACAAAGGAGGACACGCCAAGAGCAGAGAGAACGTTCGCGAGAGGTGTGTCCCCCCCCCAACCCTAATGTAGGCCGGCTCTTCGTGCCCACCGCGGCGACGAGGGGCAGCGAGATCAGCCGTGTGTGTCTGGATCCAGGACCAAGGGCATAGCGGAGGGGGCGGGAGGGCGAGAGGCAGCCTTGCCCATGAGCATGGCTAATAATAGTTGTGTTGATACCAGGGAGAATTAAAGCCACAGCAGAAGGGGAAACTAAAGACACTAAATTTTAGTCGAGCTAATTTTGGAAGAGAGGGGAAAGTGCTGAGGGAAATGAAACAGGATAAAGCTGTTGAAGAGAAAACCACGAAGGAAATAGAAAGTATTCAAAGATAAATTAATGCATGACCAAAATCACTACGGGCTACCCAGTCATAAATATTCCAAGGGGTGGGGGGAGGCAAGGTGGATTAAAAAGTGAGAGGCACAGACATGCTGCGTAATATGAATTTGTGTAAGTATGGGAAATCAAGGATGGGCCAAAAGGCAATTCCTGAATGGAGATGAAAGAGGGAGAGGTCATTCTTCCGTCGGACAAGCACCTCTGTCTATGCCTCTATACATTTTCTCCCAGTTCCGTTTCTGCCATCCTATAAATACTCCTATTTGTGCTTTTCCACCTGGCAGCCACTACAAGTCCCTTGATTCAGCTCATGTTGACACCCATATGTCCTTGACTGAAGGAAGGGAGGCCGTCTATCTGCAGACGGGGGGAAACCCACCTCCGAGAAAACACTACGGGCTTGGACGGTGGCTGTCCAGCGTGTTTGGTAAGAAGTCGTCCCTCCGCATAGGAACAACAGGTGAGGGAAAAGCTTCTGAGGAACACAGTGAATGAGTGAAGATGTTGGCAATGGATATAGGGACCACCAGCTCGTTATGGTGAACACAGAGTCACCGAAGAAGGCACCAGCGTGTATCTCTGCCCACAGTTCCTGACGGACACTCCTTTGTACTCAGTGGGAAGAAGGCAACATCTATCTGTGTGGCTCAGCACGAGGGTAAGGAAGGTACAGGGGACCTGCGGATCTGAAGCCTTAATTCCCTGGTAAGTAGGTCAAGTGGAAGTCTGTAAATTAAAAATGGAAATCAGGAAAGGGCAAAAATCATGCCTCATGGCTAAATTGCCGACTACAACTCAGCATGGCAGAAAGGGGAAAATAGTAATAATAATCATAAATCCTCAGATCTCTGGAAATCAAATACACTTATCAGCAAGCACACATACTCTGCAATCCAAAATAACATGAGTTTTAATATTTCATTATAAGAGAGTTTGGGGGTCTCAGGTGGGTAGGTAGCTTGCATTTGGTACAAAGACTCTGAAAAAATTTTCACGCTAATAGTTACTGCTTAGAGGCAAGCACCTCTGACCCTTTTCTAGACGCTCCCCCCTCCCCGCTGGGGGCTGACCACAAGTCAGGAATCCCCAAACTACTCTACTATCTTCATGTGAGATACACTTGGAGGAGAGCTGACATGGTTAGACCTTTTGCAGTAGAGATAGTAACGTCTCCTCACTAGGAAATCTGGTGGGAAAGAGTCCCAGAAAATGGAGTGGGGGGCTGGAGCCAGCTTAAAGACTGAGGAGAGCAGACTGACTCCAGATGCTGGGGGGCAAGAGGCCATGCCTGGCAACACTAACATCCTAGCTCACACATAGTACATTTACAATGGGAAATACAGAGAGGGCTATACTGGGCTGACTAGAGTCCCCCCGATCATGCATGGTCTTCCCAAACCTCAGAATGTGAGCTTATTTGGAAATAGGGGTGTTGCAGGTGTAATTAGTTAAGATGAGGTCATACTGGAGTAGGGTGGGCCCTAAATCCAATGGCTGCTATCTTCAAAAGACAGATACAGACACACATGCGCCATGTGGATGGCCATAGGGACAGGGAGCAGAGATTTGAGTAATGCAGGTACAGACCAAGGGATGCCAAGGATTGCAGGCAACCTCCAAAAGCCAGGGAGATACGAGGAAGGACTCTTCCCTGGCACCTGCCGAAAAAGTATGGTCCTGCTGTCACCTTGATTTTGGACTTCTAGCCTCTAGAATGTGGGAGAGTAAATTTCTATTGTTTTAAGCCATTCAATTTGTTGTACTTTGTTAACTAGCACAAGAGCTATCCAAGGAGTAAATGACAAAAGGAGGGAAGAAACAGAATTCACCACAAAAAACCAACCCAAAGACATAAAAGCACAGCTTCTCAGGACTTTTTGCCACGGAGTAAACAACCCAGTGTAGCCCACACACACGGTCAGGGGTAGGGGAGACAAGCAGAGGAAATTTTTAAGATCAAGTCTCAGGACAATTTCTATGTGCAGGAAAGTAACACTTCAACCCCCACTGGCCAAATACTTCAAAGGGGACAGTGGGCAGGGACAGAAAAGAAAGCATCTTTTGTTTGCAAGGGGCAGTGTTTTTAGCTGCTTCCTGCTGGAAGCTCTTCTTCCCACCTGACAGCACAGGGGAAGGATAAATCATCCTCCTAAGCAGGCCGCACGGAGACACCAGGGGGTTTGTTGGAATCTGTATAGTAGGAGATTCAGGCACTTAGAATAAACCATGGAAGTCAGGCTGGGCAGATGCGTGGGGCAGTTGCTTCTCTGGTATTCTTCCACATGCCCATGGCCAGTTCCTTCTTCTGTTCCTCAAGGTGTGGTTCCAAGTCTTCAAGACTTTTCCTGAGGCCCCCGGCCTCCTCCTTCTGTTCTCTTCTTTCTTGACTCTGTACATCCATGCACCGCACTTCACAGAGGAAATTCAGGCCACCCACCATGCATTCCCTCAAGTTCCTGTCCCCTTTGCTACAAATATCCATTGTGGTCTTTCCCTCCTGTCCTGAAAGAATTGGATGCCCCCCTCAGGTTCAAAGTCAACTCCTCCACCTGTTCTCGGTATCTTTCATGCTTCTCAGGGGCCTTGATCCACCAGCTATTTCCTCTTGCATGTCCCCAGCCTCTTCTTGTCACTTCAGTAGAAAATATATATTTTATATATATTTTTTTTCAATCTTTCTCAATTTAGGAACCTCTCTCTGGCTTCTGTGATAGCTCCCATCATCCTCAGTAATTACCCTCTCCTATTCCTTCCCTTCTTGAAGCTTCTTGGAAGAACAGACTGCATTCAACAGGTGTATTGTTTTGCACATCTTGCTACAAGCCTGGCTTTGGCATCACCATTACACTGTGACACTGAATCCTAGGCAAGGCGGTTGCCGGATGAGTGAATACTTTCTTGCCTTATCTAGTTGGTATCTCTGTGGTATTTGGCATTGGCCTCCTTGAAATTCTATTCTTCTTTGACTTCAATGACATTACTCTCTTGTCTGCCTCCTGCCTCTCTGGAAACTCTATTTCTATTCGCCAGTCTTGATCTCTTTTTGTTTCTAGAGTACCCCATGGTCTTCTAATACCAGCCCCCTCCTTTATTCTGAGCCCTCTCTTTTCTACTCCAAGAGGAAAATTCTTAGAAACACACTGCCCACAGAATATCATCCACACCCGTATCTTAATACATGCTGATGAATCCCACATATATATCCAAGGCTCTGTTCTTTCTCCTTAGATTCATGTCCCACAGGCCCTCCCAGTTCAACATGTTCAAAGTTAAACAATCATCCTGCTCGGTTACTCCTTTGCTCACAGCACCCCCCAGTCAAAACCCCCTGTTCTCTCCCTTAGCTCCTTCCATTTGCTACTGATAATTCCACTAAGGTTTCTTGAAGTACCGAATATCTAGGTGCTTGGTCCTGAGCTTGCAGAGATAAATGAGATCTCAGAGAACAGTAGGAGAGAAAGTCAAGTAAACACGTAAGTTGTAATCTAACAATAGAAGCAAAACTAGAAGTCATGTACAAGATATAGAGGTAGCATGGAAGAGAGAATGATTATCTGGATCAGACTAGGAGGGAGATTAGATCCACAGTGCCAGAGAATGCTCTTAACGGTGGATGAGATTGTCTCTTCCCTCAAGAGCTGCTGATCTGTCTCAGTTAATGCTCACCACCAGCAATCCACCATCTGAGCCTGAATCTGGGAGTGTTCCTAGAATTGTCTTCTATATCTGATCAATGTTGGTCAGTTACACATGCAAAGATCTCTCAAAACTTATCCCTTGGACAAATTTGATTTATCTCCTAATTGGCTTAATTTACATTTCACCTTCAATCTACCTTTATGAGAGCAAGGAATTTTTCTGCTTTGGTCAATTCTCTATCACACATGATTAGATAAATCTCTGTATATAGTGGGTACTTAATAAATAGCTGGTGAATGCGAGAATGCTCCAGAGGGATATTCCTAAAAGCTAGATCTTATCATGCCACTTCACAAATTTTCAGGGCTCCTCATTGCAATCAAAGTAAAATTGACAATGGGCTGGGCAAACAAATATACTCATTATATTCCAGTCTCTGCAAATTTTATCAACAAATCACTCCATCAGGCTTCTGTGTCTTTAAGCATACTGTTGCCTCCTTTCAAATTAACTTACCTTGCTGGTCCTTAAGATGGATTTCTCTCTCTCTCTCTCTCTTTTTTTTTTGAGTTTATTTATTTATTTATTTATTTATTTATTTATTTATAGTAATCTCTAGACCCAACATAGGGCCCAAACTCACAGCCCTGAGATCAAGAGTCCTGTGCTCTTCCGACTGAGCCAGCCAGGCACCTCAAGATGGACTTCTCATCTTTAAAAATTCAAGCATCGTCTTTTTATTTCTCTCATTCATTCTTCCTGACCAAATAAGACTGTGACTTGTCCTTGACCCTCTGTGTTCTTAGACTCTCACAATATTTATCACTAATTATCTCTTTGATATATTTACATATCCACTTCCCCCAGTAAATCGTGAGCTCCTTGAAGACAGGACCTAGGAGTCAGAACAACAACAAAAAAATCAACCTAATTAGTATGTGATGGTGTCACTCTTGGGTCAAAGAGAAAACCACAAGAATAAGCAAATGCAGGCTGATTTGAGATGCTCCTTCTATTATCCCCATATTGCCGTCTCCCTGGGTGAAATTATATTACATTTATATAAGAAGGCAATCAAGTGTGTAATATATTTAGAAAGAGTTCTATCAAAATGATTCAGATTTTTAAAAATATTTGGGAGCTTACAGAGGATAAGCTTTAATTATCTAAAGACTCATTGATATGGAACACTTCATTGCCTTCCAAACCTAGATAAATGGATCTATACAAAGGTCACAAAACATGCAACCACACCTTCAGAGCAAATGGTATGATCTGCACCGTGGAGCCCCAGAGGAAAAACTAGAAAGACCATGGATAAAAGCCACAAAACTGGAGAGACTATGAAACATTCAGCAGGAGAAAAGAAAAGAGATGATGCTGCAGGAGGGACAGTGTTCTACGGGCCTGAAAGAGAACTTTCTTCTTTGAGGTATGCAGGGAGATTGCTGCTTATGAAGTGTTTTCAAAATCATGATATTCAGCATGCCTTTGACTCTCTTGATTTGCAAAGCATGATCATGAATATTAACTAATTGATCAACCTGCAAAACACTCTTTAGAATTCGTAATACTGGATCCCAGTGAAGGAACAGCAAACAGGCCTGCAGAAGCCACATAACATCTTATGGTTGGCTCAGAATCCTCTCTAGCAGTCAGGTCAACCATGGTAGATGTATCCTGGTCAGGTCTTAGCCTTGGGCCAGTGTTTCTCAAGTTCTGGAACCTTCATGAGATGAGTTTAGTTGGTAAAGGACATTTTTCCCCCCAGCCTTATTGAGAAGGATACACATTTTTTATTTTGATAGTTGATTATTTTAATGTGCCTTTGGAAAGTTCATAAGTATAGCATCTTGGGGCACCTGGGTGGTGCAGTCGGTTAAGCATCTGACTCTTGGTTTCGGCTCAGGTCGTGATCTCAGGGTCATGAGATAGAGTCCCGGGTTGGGCTCCATGCTGAGCATGGAGTCCGCTTGAGATTCTCTCTCTCTCTCCCTCTGACCCTCCCACTCATGCTCACTCTCTAAAATAGAAAACAAATCTCTAAAAAAGTAAATATAGCATCT